CTCCTTCGCTCAGCAACCAGTTTCTGCTCACATACTGAGCACTCAGTACCCGTCGTTGGCCTCTCCCAACATAGCGTTCAATAGGAGAGTTGCGGTTGGATCTCAACTAACTGATGCAGCTTCGGTAAAGGGACTAGTAAGTCATAATATCATTATGAAATAGTCTCCAGTATTGAATGTGTCAATAATTTTTTACAGTATTTTAATTGTTTAAGCCTTAATCAAATTAGAATTATACAAAAAATAAAAGGCTCGAAAATTATTTACATTTTCAATTGAAACTTTTGAATACCAGCTTCATAATTAGTTCCATAATCAAGGAATAAGAACACAATTAGTCGGCTCAACTAAACATATAAAAAAATCCCCAAAAATATTTTAATTCATTTCCGATCATTTTTAAATTCACCTCAGAAATTTAACGCGTAAAGAGCACGTAACGTAACCTATCTTCGAACAATTTCTATCGGTACGAACTAAATTCCTTCTTCAGGCTAAACTTCTGTCTAAAAGTAAACAACGATTATAAAATTTTCGAGTTCAAAGCTCTGAACGTGAAAGCTAAAATATCTATCTGGCACCGGTACTTCGTTCTGTTCGGCATAAACGAGAACAGCTGACAGAGGTGTGTGTGCAAGTAGGTTTCCGCTGCGATATCTTTTGCATGGGTCATTCTAGTATAACAGTTTCTTGATGTCGTACCGACGAACGTCGAATCGTATAACGCAAAATTACAGGCATTCTCATGAGGATATAATATAATGCAAGATAATATACTGCATGCAAGAAGAAGAATATTTATTGTTGCAATTATAAAAAATATTTTCAGATTGACGGATAGAACAGGGGCGCCCGAAAAAAAACTGTGTGGCCAATCAATCTTTACCGGGTAGCAAACAATTTTTAGTCGTGAGATAGTATAATGCTCGAGCAATGGTCCAGTGCAGTAGAGAAAAACTTGTTCGAACCTAAATCTGAAAAATTACCCAACTTTTGGAAGTTCTAAAAACATTTTACATGCCATTTTGTTACTGAACGCAGTTGTGCCTCCACTAATCGATGCATTTATTATTTTTTTCATTCAACTGTTTCACGTAATCCAAAATTTGTAGGTTTTATGAATTTTTAAAGAACACAAATAGGAACGGTAAAGTTTAAGATCCTGATCTCAGTCTCTGATTTTGATTCACTTTCATTAGCTTAATCTTCTTGACCTCACAGTTTGGACTCAATTTTAATTAATTATCAATATTAATGCATTCAAATCATTTATGTTATCTGTGGACGATTAATTCCGTAGAACTTCAACCATTTCAGTTTTCAATAAAGTTTCGTGATTTCTCAGACTAGCCCCCTTGCCTGCGTCGATAACTTGTTCTGCACGGGCGACACCGACACCTACATAACCATTGACTTGGGCGCATCGCACCCCGTCGGCAGCATCAGCTTCGTGACGTCACAACAGAGTAATCCGCCCCAAGCCAAGACTATCCAGGGAGCCAAGATATACGTAAGAAACATATATTTTCTTCCACGTCCGTACGTTATCATAAATTTCCAGATCTTGTCTAGAATTGTTTTAGTAATTATATCCTAGCCCAGTGTAATTTACCCACATACACCTGACTATGTAAGACGTACCATCCACTGCAATATGTGAACTAAATGTTAGTGTAAATACGCTTACTCACATAAGGGTAATTAGTCATACATATAATTCTGTTTTGCGAATAAATCTAAAAATAAGATAGTATAGCTTATTTTCTATATAAGTGATCTCGCTGGTTTCGGGGTTTGTGAAATTAATTGTTTTCAAGTGTCAAATTTGTGCAACTTAGCTTATTATGAAATTTCTCGATAATTTACTCGGGAGCGAATGAAGACGCGTAGAACGGATCTCAATAAAAGCTAAACATATCATGTGCATATGTAGAACTCTGGTGACGATTTCACGAAAAACTAATACCTAGCGTTAAATTTCCGCTGCTTGATATCGTTTCTGTTCATCACTAATTACCACTATATGGTATCTCCTACGCAGCCAATTTTACGAACATAGAAGATATATAGATGTTGTCTAAGCATCTCTTAGGTATACCAAGAAATAAAGTACATATAACAACTAAAAATATACTGATAATGTGCAGTAGTTATATCGTACGCTAAATCAATATTATATCGTGCGCTAAATATCGTGCGCTTTTTATATCGTGCGCTAAATCAATATTATTCGTCAATCGGCAGCTTGGCAGCTATGGAAATACGTCGGATCGTCTGGTAGCTGCAAACATACTGAGCACCATTAATCCATTCAAGGGCGGAAAAAAATATACCGTTTCAACCTGTGAGTCATTTCTCTGACGTTGCCTTAAATGCAGAAGTATTTGTAGTTCTATGATGTTGAACATCATTCCAAGTCTAGCCAGTCGCCGAATTTAAGTGTCTTTGGCTTGTTTACAGCAGTTCGACAAACTTGTATTTGACCACATCTATCCAAAACTGACTTTGATGTAATATAGCTACTGGTCTGTTGGCATGTTTTCTGGTCTACTATACCAGTGGATCGAGTGTATTTCATAGAGAAATTGTGCATTGACTAGCACAATGTGCGAGATGAAATTAATGAAATTGTGACTAGCCCAATTGATCATAAAATGCAGTGAAATGACAAAATTAATCAATCGAGTCAGACAACGTATAATTGTAAATAAATCTGATCACCCGTTTCTGTCCCTCCCAGTCAACGTTGCCGGGCGATACCTGACCGTGTTCAAGAACCAATCCGAAATGTGTTTGGACAGCCTTCAAGTGTTTTCACCTGCAAGTCCTCAGTCAGGGTTTGCCCTTGTCCCAGGTACAGGATAAAGGTCATTTTCGAATTACCAGCGTCACGGTTGAACTTAAAATGTCGCGGGTGAATAAATATGTTTACGTTTGAACGCGGAGTCACGTTTGAAAGGCAAGAATCAAGCAAGAACCAAGCACAGATGTGATGTCCGAACTTCCAGCGTTACGGTTGAATCTAAAATGTCACGTACACCATAATCAAGTTTGTACCCTAAAATTCAAGTTGTTCCCCAAGGATCAAGTTTATACCTCGAGAATCAAGTTTGTACCACCATAATTAAGTTTGTACCACGAGAAACATGTTTTCCCCACGAGAATCAAGTTTATCCCACAAGAATCAAGTTTGTACCACGAGAATCAAGTTTGTACCACGAGAATCAAATTTGTACCACGATGATCAAGTTAGCTTCAACTACGCGAGTCAATTGTGAAATATGACAGCGCTTTAAACCACAGTTGTCGAGTTTAAACTAAAATTTTTGCGGCCGACCTTGAGGAGTTACGTTTTAAAGTACATGAATAAAGTCAGTAATAGGCTTAAAAAGGTTGGGTGTTGGACGAAGTGCTTGAGTTGTAACAAGAGGGTCTTGATTCAGCCGAGAGAGCAGGAGTTGAACCCATTGAGGTGAATAGGTCATCGTGGATAAAATCTAAGGTTTGTGATGTAACAATTAATAATTCCTTCGATCTAACGGAAAGAAAATAATCGATTTAAATGATTTTCAATTCAAACGATTGATGCAACTTGCGTTACGAACAAGAATAATTAGAACATAGCATCCTGAAGGCTAAAACTAGATATCTAGGCCATATCAACATTGAGAGAAGAACGTCGTCCATTCAGCAAAATGTAAAAAAATACATTGCATTTCCGTGTAGCAAGGTTATGATTGAGTAGGAAGGATAGTTTTGCATGAAAATAACCTTTTTGTGGAAAAATCTGCTGTTACCTTACCAAAAACATCGAAATTATAACGCTCATACATCAAAACTGATAATATTTTTGTTGGTATTAGCTTTACTATGTCGTGGTCGACCAGCACCGTGAGTTCCAGCAATGACTTTCGTACCACCGTGCTAAATATTGCATTTCTCATGAGCTATCGCTTGATGGGAGAGAAACGAATAGCTTGCGATTCATCAATGCAGATTTATTTCCTTGAATTTAACGCGCACTATAACTCGAATTAAGGCTAGCCATATGTAGTACTTTAGAGTAGTTAAGGCCATATAATTTAAGAAAAGCGTGTAGAATATAACCGTATGAATGAAAGTTAAATTGAGTGTTAAAGAACTCCTCCGACAATAAAGAGAAAAAAATTGTAACACTCTTTTACCTTCAAAACATTTCACACGGAGATTTTTTTCGAACAGCGACTAATTTATGGAATGTTTGCTACGTACTTTCCAGTGAACCCTTGCATTTTTTCGTATATCATCACCTGGAGTCGCTAATACTTGTTTCCAAATGACCACTTTATCTTTATTAATTAAATCGCAAGTGGCAAACAAAAGTAAAACGGAAATGAAAGTTGTGACAAATTGACCATGCTTAAATATTTTTGGTTTAACGGTGGTGCTGTTTAAAAATGTTCGCTCACTTCTGCAGTCTACTACCCTGAGATATTACGAGAGTTCATTCCGCTGCACTCCATGCCTGGTTATTACACTCTGTGATCAGGTAGCATTTAAGCCGCGTGTATAACCAAGTACCACCGTACACCTCAAATATGATATATTAGCTGTTCATAAATCATAAGGCGTGATAGCTGCATTTATATTGCTTATATTTATATTGTATATTGTTTATAATTAACGGCTCAAATGAATGTAAAGTGAGTCTCAGATAACAGATTATCGGCAACAGTTGAAAATCTTTGCCGAATTACTTCGAGCTAGGCAGTAAATATTCTTCCGCGGTAAGAATAATTTATGGAAGTTCGCCCATAACCCAACAAGAGCTCCCGGTTCACCTGGAAAGCCGCACCCTCCAACTAGTAGAACGCGTAGCACAGGCAGTGAATCACGCCACTACAGCGAGTTTTTACTTCGAAAATTTTCTCATAGAATAGAATAGAACTGCCGGCACTGAAGAAATAGGCCCATGGCATGTTGCCGATGCTTGTACTTTTCTTGACTTGATTCACAAGGAATCCGGCCTTTGGAACCCGATCTTTCCATAACTGACGATTGATTGAGATAGTTGCTGGATTTATTGCAGAAGTGGTCCGAATGGTGCTAGGCATTTTAAGACTGAACATATGCTCCTGCATATCTTCGTCTAGTCTGTTCCATGGTTAGTTCTCTTTACTAGCGTTTTGATTGTTTGGCTTCATCAAATCGGTACATCTTTATTTTTACGTTGCTCCGAAACATGCCGTTCAATTTCAACTATATTTTCGTGTTCAGCTATTGTATCCAAATTTATTCAAACGAACTTCATCGCGATTAGTAGCAAATTAAACAATATAATGACCATTTCTGTAAATTCAGATGTTTTCGGTTGAGTTTTTAGGACCAAATCGCCTTTCGTCTTGAGGCATGGGCGCGTCGAACGCGCTGTGTTCATCGAAGAGCGCCCTCGATCCCTCAGCCACCTGCTCCATGTGGTCGAACAACGCTCCGTCGATGACGTAAATCTGGGCGTCTTCCACAGAGATCATATTCACTACAGGAAAGTCGTTGATCGTCACGGTACCTGGATGAGAGTAGAAAATTTGTTACATGATTTCGATATGTGAAATTCTTGTATACTACAGAGACCAAAGTAAATATCTCATTGGAACTTAAGTCTACTCAACACTGCCGGTGCTAATTTTTTTTTTATTCGCAATGGGAGAATGAATCAATCGGTGCAAGACAGTATGGAGTGCGAAAGTGCAAATTTATTTTATTACTTGGTACGTTAAATTTCATTAAAAAATTAAAATGAAGTTTGCTGCGAATTTTAGACTGTTGGTTGAATGGAAGTTCAATGCTTAGCGGAAATACAATTCAGATCGTTTTCTTTTCAATTATCCATGGCAGTGCTAAAAATTCACACGACTTAAATTTTCTAAAATATATATTTCCTAATTTTTAATATGCATGCCAACTACCTGCATATATTTCTTTTATCAAAATACAATGAAGTAAACATACCTACGTTTTGTAAAGGTATTAGTTACCTGTGGCGTTTTTCTCGAAGACTATTGTCTTATTGTTGAGATTCCGCACAGCAAAGCCGTCTGGATTGAGGAGGTTCTTGTCTTCGGGCTCGACAAGGTCGGCAACCAAGTAGTCCCGAACAAGTTTCGTCTTGAGCTCGACAAACCTACCCTGCAGGGAGTACAGCGGACTCGGTACATCCTGGGGCGCGAAGTTGGTGACCACGTGGTTGCTGGGAGATATTATGGTCTTCGGCGCCTCTTGATCTGTTATCAAAAGGGCAAATAATCAAAAAGTGGACAATTGTGACATTGTCCGAAAGTGTGTGACGAAGTTAAGCTAATTCCCTATGCCGTATATAAGTAATGACAAGACTGCAATAGTCACCGACATGTGGAACAGCCTCCCTGAAGATATTGTTGACGCTCCGAGTATGAACGCGTTCAAGAACAGACTAGACTATGCCATGCAGGAGCATATGTCTAGTCTTGAAATGCCTCGTATCCTACGGAATAACTGAAATCTAAAAACGATTTTAAACCTACCGTCCGTTGAAAAGATTTGATCAAAAGGCCAGTCTAGTCAAGAAAAATACTAGAATCGGCGACAGGCCTCCAGGCCTATTCTTCAATGCCGAAGATACTATAACTACTATACTATACTAATAGCAGTGTGGAGAAGGTGAATTTAAGAATAGGTGTCAAACGTCTTGTTTGTCAAACTATCCAACCATAGAATAAAAGTAGTTGAAAGTAAAAATGTTCAGGCGTTGCACTTCGACTTTCTGTATACTAAGATAGAACACATCACTCCTCAATAGTATCATATTAATGCCAATATGCCATTAACCAGCACTACGTTACAACTACAAGTATCAAATCGTTGATACCACTATCAACGTGTGTGTTGCCAGTGAGCAACACGTCGTTGTTTAATGGTGTCGTGTGTACATATAATATCATGTTGAAAGGTTTAAGATTGGAACTCACTATCCATGGTGAAGTTAATTCGCTGCTGCTCCACCATGGAACGATGCCATAGGTCCAGGAACTGTTCAGCAGCAGGTGGCGGGGTTTGCTGGAGTGCCTGTGGCAGCGGCGGCAGCTGAACGGCTGCAGCCGCTGCTGCGAGTAACGTAGCCAGCAGAACCTTACCTAAAGAACCAATTTTTTCGTTTCAAAAACTAGAAAATCAATACTGTGCAGGCCTTGTATCTCACTCATACAGATATGTCACATTTTTACCGAATAAACAATTTAGAATGACAAAATATTTTGCTTGTAATTAGTAGTACAATACACTGGCTGACTGGGCTATGCGTTCTCCTTCGAGATGGGTTTTAACAGAATATTCCTGCCCAACGTAGATAAAATCAGGTGTCTTGACAAGTCAATCTACATGATGTTTTGCAGCAGTACTCACCCAGAACAGTGAGAGAAGCCATGTTGATCGATCGGAGGCTGGAGGTATATGGACGATGTGTAAGCTTACCACCAAAGTGTGGCGTGTTGAAATCCAGTGCAGATGTTGACCCAAACATCACGCTTGCAAGCCAGCTTGCTGGAATTGATTACATAAACAGAACGACAACGAACGTCCGGATATTGTTCTATTCTAACAAGCGAATGCAATAATTCTGCGAATAATATCACGGTTTCTTTATGCACACGTGTAAGACAAGCAACTTGATGGTGCTTAATTAAATGTTTTCATGCAATAGATTTTACCCTAGCAATGTTCTAGGCAACCTGACGTCTTGCCAACATTCTCCGATATCCGCGGAACAAAAGGGAAATTTCATCTTTCAACGAAATTGTCCGTCACGTTGAAGTTAACAGGTAGGAATTCAATAGACGAGGAAAAATTAAATAAAAAACACAAGATAAATGAAAGCTTTATTGTTTGCGCGGTATTGCGCACAATATATACATAGTGTCACAGGGAATAAATATCAGAACTTTATAATACAGGAATGTACACGAATATCATACAATTACTTCCTGAACAATTCAGAAACGTCGATGAAACAGTGATGCCAGATAAAAATTAGCAAAAATTATAGTCTCAAGCTGAACCAATTGCAGAAAAAAACTCTTGCATCACAACTCGTGCTCTAGTAGCTTTGCACTTTCGTCTGTTGGCCGAGGACAGGACATATTCAATGACTTTTTGACTAAAAAGTTATTGATATTAATTAATACAGATGATGAAGCAGAATTGCTAGAAAGTACCTATGGGGGGTGGCATTTAAAATATTTACCTTCCAACTGGTTATTTAAGCACAACTGGCGAAACTATGCAAGGAAGTGACAACCTTAATCCTTGACTGCAGCAGAATGGCGGGAGAAAAAACAACACAGTCGTGGGCTCGAGTTGCTCAATCAAGTCATTTAAGGGAATCCTACAAAAATTATAACCTTATGACCTTATGATAAGTTCGGGACTTCCTAGTCCCCGCTCACGCTGATGCGCCGCCTTCGTCGTCCTCCGTCTCCGAGCCGTTGCTAAGCAGGTCACCCCGCCCCTGGGTCCCGGATGTAACGTTGAACGTAGGCGCAATCATTCTTAGCATACAAAATTGACTTCTTACTCCGTTGAAAAAGGTCTTTCATCTTCTACAACAACTGTAGAACAGGACATTAACAGTGAACTAAGATTCAAGGGTTGGCCAACATAAGGAAGAGAATAGACAAAAAGGTTAGGACCATGGCCAGTTTTTCCAAGGAATAGAGGTCTAGCTACCAAATCACACTGTAGATAAACCTGTACAGTTTAAATCAAGAATAAACATGACTTAAGGATCTTAATATTGAATGTAGAAGCAGCTGGCAACACGACAAGAAAACTTACCAGCCTACAATCTATCAATCAGTCTCAGGAGGAGAGCTTATCTCAAACTTAAACTCAAACGCTATCAATCCTTTGGCGTCTATCGCAAACTTAATACCCAAAAGATTAACCAACTCATCACGATTACGCACAAACATAAATGGCCCTAAAGTTATTGAAAACGGAATGGCTACTGTCAATAAGGGAAAGCAAATACTCTTCAGAAGTTGCTCAAGTTCAACTTTAATTTACATTAGCTTTAATAACTGCACAGCAAGTGATGATGCATCAACATACACGCAAGCTACAAATATTTGCATTTTTTATAACATTACCCGCCTCTTGCAGCAAGTTTCAACAGAGATAAGATAAAAATCCATAGGAAACGTGGCACACGCTGTACACTAGCGCACCTACAAACGCTGAACATATCGACTGTCATCACGAAACACGGCGAAGGGACAGCAAGAGATATCATACACTAAGAGCGCTCTACTTATTATCCCTGGTGAGTTGGTCCAGAAGACGGCGCAGCACGCAGAAACGAAATGATTCGTGATGTGCCACAGGATGGCATCTAAACTCCAAAGCCCCCCCCCCCCCCAAAAAAAGTTTCTGCTTCCTATCTATTGAAATATGAAATATAGAACTGCTTTTGTGGATAAAATTAAACTTTTTTTCATCATACATCGCGGATATATAATTAAATAATTAAATATGAACGAAGACATTCGAATGGAGGCCAAACATACACCAAACACGGAAATTTCACTTTCAAAATTAACAATTCAAAGAAAACGAATATTAGTGAATGAAATCCTTAATTCTATTGATGACATCTTAAAATAATAATTGAATACAATAGCAGGAGTTCTAACGAACATAAAAACTCTTTTTTTTTAAATCGGTACAAAGTTGACATATCTTATGGGTTTAATTCATGATGATAAACTAGCACAGTATTTCACAGCTTCATAAACTATCGTACAAACCTTCAACATGCGATAACTTAGAGAAAAGTCACATAAAACAATACCATCAGATATTACCAGTTTCCCAACAATGTTCTTAGAGGGACGCTTGTTATACTAAGATGATCAACAGGATGCACAGTGATAAATACAACACCTGCCATACAGGCATGAGCGTAACAGGTTGTCTTTATTAGACCCAAAATCCAAATTCAAGTAAAAAGACAAAAAAAGCTAACATAATTCATCAATATTACAACAAAACTTTTTTGTGAGAACGAGTGCTTATCAAGCGTTCAAAGATTTTTACAAAAGGAAACTACGCAACATTGAGGTGTTACTAGCACAGATCGATCGGGTTATAGATTCATCATCTTGCACATTTTAGTAGCGACTGCTTCCTTATTGTCACTCATCACGAATGTGATAACCGTTGCTACAAGCCTAAACATGCCATTGAAGAGATCCTCTCGTCCTTATCTGGAGGTATACAACGAGAACTTCAAATCGTTGCTAGATCACGTAATCTCAGCAGAATTGAACGCACGTCGAAGACTAGATGCTTATCGAGGAGATCTGATGATGACGACATTTTTACTCCGATAATACATAAGATTATCTTTAATGGGCGACGAAACTACAACGATCCAAAAAATTCTGAGATAAATGCCCCAGGTACTACAGACGGGAAACTTTCAAAATAAACCCGTTTGTTTTCTTGCTAAAACGTGTATTCTGATATGCAAGTTTGAATACAATGATAAATACAATTTTTAACCAAACTACATTATCAACTGGAGTTACACAATAGATAGATAGTTACAGTAAATATGTAACAACTGGAAACATTTTCCTCAATAAAAACAATAGTTGAATTTGAACACAAATCAATCAAAATCAAGTTGTCAAAGCTGCTGAGACGCGCACAAAATAAACAGAATATTTCAGGAAAAGAGAGATATTGATAATTAATTGATAAACACGAGACGCCTGCTGCTGCAGGACTCACGACGCCTGCTGCTGCACGACTCACGACGCCTGCTGCTGCAGGACTCACGACGCCTGCTGCAGCAGGATGTGGGATGCAGTGTTCACGTCGTTGTGAGAGTCCCTGAGGGCACTGAGGACGCGCTGCCGATCAAAGCCCATCGCCACCAGCGTCTGGATTTGGTCTTCGGAGGGAGGTGGCGGCGGTTGGGGGTTTAGGAACCCGTTCAGCTCCGCCCCCGCGCGACGGCCCTCATCGCCTTCCATCTGTTCGTAATTATTACAATTATATCAATCTTCATAGTTTACTACGAAATTTATTTTATATATCCACAAAAAATATATGTAGACCATAAAAAATTTCGGAAACCCATTTCCTGGATAGTTTAAAGGATTATAAATGCACGTTTTTACTGTAAAATTTGAGTTCACATTCAGCAATTGAAGCTCTCGGGTGATCATAATACCTGTGATTTATTATTTTCCATTTAAACGAGTAGATAATCATTAATTCTAACGTACGTAGATGCAAAAATGTGTGAAATCAAAATATGGCTCGAAGGAAGCAGCGTTAGCATCTCAAAGAGACGAAGTGACAAGAAGGGACAGGTAAAAAGCAACAGAAACGAAGACACTCGAACAAGAGGTCGCTTACGCGGGACGTCGGCCGCCCGCACGAGAGAGACAGAGAAGGGAAATGTAAGGAATCCTACCTACATAATAACTTAATGTAAGGAATCCTACCTACATAATAACTTTATGTAAGGAATCCTACCTACATAATAACTTAACCCCACAACTGAGACCTGCTGTCAGACACCGCGAGCTCAGCGGTGGGGCGCTCAGGAACAATCCCCCTAGGAACGCGAAATCCCATAGGACTTCTGACGAGCACAGACACCCGTCAGAAGTCCCCCTGAGGGGTTCCAGCTGCTTACTTTATAATATATGATTTACTATATAATTTACTGTCTGGTAATAAACTGATTTTACAATCATCAAAAAATTTCGCAATTAGGAAACTAGACGGCTAACCAATGCCTTACTAAATTTGTAAGCGTCAGCTCGTGGTGATCGAAGCACGTTTTTTTTCGAGCACTGAAGGGCCAACCAGGCATTTAAGTATGTAATCTAAATAATTTTTGCACCCCTGTGAACTCCGATATTAAGGATAGTATAAAATCTGTGTCTCTTTGCCAATGCCTACGTTTTAGTTGGGTACCCTATATACCATCACAGTCATTTCACTTTTACAAGCATACCAACATTATGAATGCCTTCAGTAACAGTGCTAGTGTTCAATAATCCATGAATGACATATTAACGTAAATAACATATGTGCAAAGCAAGGACCTGCATGTGTCTGCCTCGTTGCCTCATGAGCATCTGTTGGTCCCAGAGCTCCATTTCCTCCTGCCGCTGCAGTTCGAGCGTGGCTCCAGTGAGGGTCTCCTGAGGTGGGGCACTCGCCAGCAGCGGCCCCAGCGTCGCCGCCGCGAACCGCCCCACCACGGCAGGGATAAAAGTCAGCCGCTGGATGTAGAGCACGTTGTGCCGGTAGATCAGCCCAGACACCTAACATGCACGGCACGATTTAATGATCGTGTAGTTGCATCATTACCTCAGGTATATTAGCCTCAAACGCAATTCATATTCATGATTTTGTTAATTTTTTAACCAGGTATACCGGTATTGCTTCAAATATGGCCAGAATGAATGTTACATGTTGTTCTATAGTCGAATAACCGTAGTTATATTGGCAGCGATATTCAACTCTGGTAACAACTTTGTTAGGTATATTTTCATCATTATTCATCCAAGTATATCACAATAGTTGCTTAGAACAAATACCGTACATTTGAATAACCCATAATTTACCAATCAAACAAAACACCTGCGTAAATTATATGAAATACAAATAGCCAGCAATATCATTTGGTAGCTGCACTGCTGCAAACAACAAGGCAGAAAGAAATCTATAATAAAGTGACAGAAATCAAGAATAATAAAAAGAGTAATAGAGGCAACTGACAACGCCACATAGCGCCGAGATGGCGGTGGCGGGCGACGTGTAGGCGAGCTGCAGACCCAAGAGGTACGTGAGAGTCTTGCCCGTGATGGGCACGCCTAGCACGCGCGTCTGTGCCACGTGTGGTATATCGCAGTAGTAGCTAACAAATAGTGGGAATATTAACCCGTACCTGCATTAACAAAAAAATGCATATATGAAAATTGAGAATTAACATTCAATGCTAATATGGTAAAAATTAAAAACTACAAATGTTTAATAAGGAAAGTAATAAGTATATGGAGCTTATACATTGTTCCACTACAGAAATAGGACTTGTTTCATGAAAAATTATATTAAATGGTAGCTGTGTATATATGAACTACCATTTATATACGTATGTGAACTTATATGGTCTATACAAACGACAGTAAGAAGCCAAGACATGCGGACACTGTGGGTGCCCAATTGACTGCTCCTAAATAGCAAGAAACAAACTGCATAATCAAGTACTGACGGTCCTGGAGGAAGATGGCCCCCGTTGTGCAGATCAAACCCAGCATAGTGTAGTGATAGCACAGTGACTGTTTCCAATAGAGTTGTCACACATTGATTTGCGATCAGATATGATGCAAACTTGTGTGACCCATAACGTCGCTCAAATATTCTGGAAAATGAAGTACAAATATATTGGTATGAATCAAATTTTTGTATGCCTTCAACAGCCATTGTTTTCATTACACCACTTGACAAACTGTGCTTCAACTCATGCACAATAAAGGACTTTGAGAAAGTTAGTGAGATTTTAAATTCATCAATGAATACGTACCTAAAGGAATAGGTACTTAGTTTTTAGTTACTTGTGAGTAACAATGTTAATCTTTTTGATACTCAGACCTGCCTTGGCATAGCCAAAAAGTATTAAAAAAATAGTGTAATTCAAGATCAATATATTTCTGAATGCTTAAAGAATGAACAAAATGCCTGATATACAAGAATATATATCAATTTCAATCAATTATATGAGGAAACATTCATTTAGTCTGATCAAACAAAAACAAAATATTAGAATAATGTTATGAAGATAATATAAGGTTATGTTGTGTAGCTAACTAGGCCTTTACATAGAATTACAAAATTAAACATTTTAAAATTATACCAGATATTTCCATAAATAGTGCATAAGAAAGACTAAGCACAACAAAATAAACTCACCTGAAATAATACATCAATAAAAAGCCCACCACCAAATCTTTCATATCCACAAATGAAAGCTTTGCTAATAAAATCCTCCATATCTGAAATAAAGAACATTTTCCATAAGAAACATGGTGTAAAATCTGTAATGGCAGCTATGAAATGATTAATTTTTTCCAATATATATATAGATAGGTATATATACAAAATCTAACAATTGTGATCATAATCAAGTTATAACAACGAGTGATTTCTTTGTAGTCAAAATATTTTTGCTTGTTTTCACTTTAGATGGATAATAATTGGAAATTAATTTTTTCGGCAATCAACTTTAAAGCTGTATGGGTGGTCACTATATTTAGTGTTACAACTATCATTGATGTTGTTGCTTACAATTTCCAACTAAATGTTCGAAAATAGGCATGAAATATTTATGATTATAAACCTTTGAATAATTTAGCTTTACACATTTAATGAATTGTATAGCATTTTCCCAAAATATTTTTATTTCATATATTAAATTAACGAAAAAATATAGGAAAATATTTAAATAATAAAATTTTACAAAGAGAACCAAGGAGAAGAAAAAACTTACTTCTCCTTTGCTGATGACTTCTGGAAGGTTGCATATGAGGTAGCGTCGCAGATGTGCAAACAGGGGAACATTGAGGCTTGTGCATGTGAGGAAAAGACAACCCATCAATCCCTTTGTAACTGGGGCATTGTCTGAAATACAAACGAGCCAATTATATATGAGAATTTTACAATATGTCAAACTCTAAAATCTAGTTACAATACAAACTGTGCACATTTTGGTATTATTATAGCAAGAGCCTGATCTTCATCTTGCAGGAAGTGGTATAATTCAGTCACTTTTAAACATGCTGTAAAAATGTTGGCAACATCTCCAGGCTCCAGCTTTATCCTGAAACCAGTTTTCATTATTATCATTAACATTATTATCATCATAAACATTATTATCATGAAAACAATAATACAGATTGAACTTCCTTTGGCAGCACTGCCAAAGTTTATTTGTTTTGTTTGTCAGCCTCAGGAGACAAACCTCTCCATTATTAATAAATACCATCAGAGTTAACCAATTTTATGCTCTTACAAGTTACAATAGAAGTTTAGATGAAATAAATTTATTTAAAATCATTCATGGGCTCATGGCTAATAAACAGCCAAATGAGCCAATTATATACGAGAAATTTACAATAGGTATATCAAACATTTCACTTTAAAATTGCATACTCACAAAAGCCAGTTGTACTAGATCGTGATAGGATAGTTGCCATGATGAAAAATTAGATTGCAACTTAATAATGACTATGATACAAATTACAATACATGTACAGTTGCAATATAGAAATTTACTATCTTCTTTTTCCTGTTGCCTGTATAACTTATTATCTAGAAAGCAGAGAACAGGTTAGAATTTCAAGTTTACAAATCTATAATTAGCCCCAATTTCCAAAACTTGAAAGTTCAACTTTAACAGTTCAACACAAACACACTAGTACCTAGTCTCTACTCTTCAGAGTCCAGAATAGCAAAATTTCTTTTGATTTACCAAGTAGTGAAAGTACCACTCCCACAATACCATCTATAGTAGTTTATTAGTACTCACTTAGTAGGCATCTACCAATACCATAGTAGCCACTAGCCAATATTGCCCAATAACCATACTACTTAACCCTTTCGTGATGGTGACAGCAATGTGTTCTTCAACTTTTTATTTGCATTTTTCTACAGAATCATCATGAACTTGGACCGAATACTGCATCTCCGTAAAAATAATTAAATATTTGTTAATGGTACAAATTATATATTTGGGACTAGAAAATCCCGGTAGTATATGACTATATGGTTCCAACTGAGGTGACATAATTTGCGACATCACTGATTTTGATAAAAAAAAATATTTTCATAATATTTTTTGTTAGGCTAGTAGTTGAAAGTTGAATAATAATATCACAAACTTACTTTGGCAAACGCGTGTAATAGCTTATATACCTAATAACATATCCCAAAAAACCTTTATTAATATTCCTTTAGAATTTAGATTGGACATATGTATAATGTAGGCGCAAGAGTGTTTCTAATATGTCCCTGTAGTTAGCTTACTTAGCTATGCCTTGAATTTAGAGCTACATGCAAGTTATAGAGTAAATCGTTGGGGGGACGTCACAGTCCCGTCAGTCAATTACTTTTGAGTTGACATAGGCACAGGACTCAGCAGGAGTGTTACTCATGTGTCCCTGTAGTTAGCTATGCCTCCAGTCTGTAGAGTATGGCACAACATAGGTCGAGGACGCCGTTTTTCTGCCCAAAAGACTCCAAGGCACCATCTAAACGGACGGTGGACGCCGATGTTTGCAGCAAACGGACGGCGAGGACGCCAAAATTGATTGCCCATGGTCTGGAAGGTGTTGCGACTTGCGTGGGCGCCGGAAGTTTACCATGCACACCACCAGTATGCCAGGGAAGAAAGTTGACACTATGTTTGCTAGAAATACGAAAGTGCATCTCTGACCAATGCCTGATGATAGCGCGTACTTGCACGATCAATGCGGCAGTTGCAAGATGATCGACATAGACACCCGCGCTTCACAAATCACAATAAATGTTCAACATAGACGCCCGCGCATTACGATCAATGCCCGACATGGATACACGCATTTCAAGATCGATGTGGCCGACGCTCACGCTTCGCGAATGATGTGGCATGATTGAAATGGATGCACGCATTTTACGATCGATGTGGCCAAGTCCCAATAATCGATACTGAGGCTCGTGCTTCGCGATCGATGAGGCATGATCGACACGGATGCATGCATTTTACGATCGAAGTGGCCAATACCCCATAATCAATTACGACATTCACGATTAGCGAACGATGCGGCTTGATTGACATGGATGCACGAATTTTACAATCGATGTGACCAATGCCCAATGATTGATTCCGATGCTCATGCTTCGCGAACGATGCAGCATGATTATGGCAGGGTGGCCCAGTGATTAAAGTTCTGAGTACCAGGATTGGCGCGGGTTCTAACCCAGCTCTGTGCGCCAGTCTCTGGTCAGAATCGGCAAGGAGGTCGGGCGGTTAAGCACAGCAGAATTGTAGCAGTGAGTTGCAAGTTCGAGACCACAAGATGCTGTGAATGTTCTGCGATGTTAAGAATTGGTGACAGGCCTTCAGTCTAATGTCAATCATGCCGCATCGTTTGCGAATCGTGAACGTCGGAATCGATCATGGGCATCAGCCATATAGATCGTAAAATGCGTGCATCCATGTCAATCATGCTGCATCGTTCGCGAAGCGAGTGCGTCGGCCACATCAATCATAAAATGTGTGCATCCATGTCAATCATGCCGCATCGTTTGTGAAGCAAAAGCGTCGGCCACATCTGTCGTAAAATGAGTGCATCCATGTCAATCATGCCGCATCTGGGGAGAATTTGAAACACCCAAGTGTTTCAAAACAGGGGGCCTTTTTCACTCAGTGTTGTTCGCGAAGCGAGAGGATCGGCCACATGGATCGTAAAATGTGTGCATCCGTGTTGATCATGCCGCATCGTTCATGAAGCGAGAGCGTCGGCCAAATTGATCATAAAATGCGTGCATCCGTATTGATCATGCCGAATCGTTCACGAAGCGTGAGATTCGGAATTGATCATAGGGCATCGGCCACATCGATCGTAAAATGCTTGCATCCTTGTCAATCATGCCGCAGCGTTTGCGAATCATGAACATCGGAATCGATCATTGGGCATTGGCCATATCGATCGTAAAATGCGTGCATCCATGTCAATCATGCCGCATCATTCGCGAAGCGAGAGCGTCGGCCACATGGATCGTAAAATGCGTGCATCCATGTTGATCATGCCGCATCGTTCGTGAAGTGAGAGCGTCGGCCACATTGATCGTAAAATGAGTGCATCCATGATAATCATGCCGCATCATTTGCGAATCATGAATGTCAGAATTGATCATGGGCATCGGCCATATAGATCGTAAAATGCGTGTGTGACGGAACCCGAATTTTATGAAATAATTTTTTTTTGAGAATGTAGTATTGGCTGGACTTGGAAGATCAACTTCATTAAGAGATTCGAGTCTTGACATTATCTATTACGTCACAATATGACTCAATAATGGTTGAATGTATTTAATTTATGACTAAACAATGTGTAAACGAATATTTATTTCGTGACCGTAATATGGAAACTTGTCTAGCAGTGGTGTTTGTAGTCTTGGAACGAAACAGGGCGTGGCTCCGACGTGATTGGTCAAGCTGCTCCTAACCTCGTTATAGCGCGCGCTAGGCAGTCGTGAACGATGGAGAGTTTGGTCTCTTTGGAATTAGTTTAAGATTATTAGATTTTTTAACTGTGATTAGATTGCCAAATGATTACAAAAATGTTGACTTTATTGTATTATATTATATTATCTATTTTTTTGCACTTAGGAAGTGTTTATAGTCTGTTTTGTACATTGCAAACAGTAGTTGAAGTAAGCTCATTTTGGCTGAGTTACCCCCTCGTTGTGTGCACTCGGAAGTTGTGTGTGCTCAGTGGTGATGGATTAGGGTAACACGGTTTCGACTCTAGTAAGGCAGAGCCAAATTTGGGCTTCCAAGAATAAACTCCACCGCAGTTCTGGGCATAACTCTTAATGAGTTCCACTAACGGACTAACAACGGCATAGGTGGAGTTCTTGGATAGTTCCAGGTTTTGGCTGCGTTGGGCGGTTAACAGCCGTTCAAATCGCAACCTCGAGGTAGAGGCTAATAACCTCTGCGCTCGAGCAAATTGTCAGCGGCTTATTGGAGGCTCGTACCCTTCAATAGTCGTGCTTTTGAGGCATAACTGCCACCCCGGTTCTGTGTTCCGGGCAGTGCATTAGGGCTCGTACCCCTGATCATTGCGTTGGTTGTCGGCATTGTGGTGCGGCTCGTACCCGTACCCTTGCGGTCCGTTCTTGCATTGGTCGTCGGCATTGTGGTGCGGCTCGTACCCGTACCCTTGCTATCTGTTCCTGCGAGGTTGTCAGTTTTGTGGTGCGGCTCGTACCGGTTCTGTGTTCCGGGCAGTGCATTAGGGCTCGTTTTTATTCCTCCTCTCTCCAAACGCAAGGGAATTTAGAGCCGGACCAAAGAGCGACTCTTTAGCCCTTGTGTTAAAACCAATAAGCAAGTCACCGTCAAGTCGGCACGCTACCCATAACTATTTCGACTTCGCGGCGGTGTTTCCGGTCACAATAGGTACCTCATTTCCAGGGGTAATTTGGGGAACTGTTTTTTTGCTCCTGGTACCTTACAAATAGCATATAAAAATTTTTCATAGATACCATATGATAACCCCCACAAAGACCTTTAAAATAAACCCAAACTTGTTTATAAAATTTTCATGGTGAGAAGTTCTCAACAAAAAATGAAAAAAATTGTCCCTTATTACAAAATTTGATGGTATATATACTTACTAAATTTACCAATATGAACTAAATATACTAAAATCAGCAAATTGTACTGAAACTTTCTAAATTGGAATGAATAAAATGAATTTCTGAAGAATTAACAAGTATTGTGGCAGGACAGCTATTCCTCCTAATTCCTTTACTGTATGCTAAAGCCCAATTCCTTTACAGGTACAAAGATTAGTACGGTATGCTGTGATTGCTGTCAGGGAAGTGAAATTTCCAGTTGGGGTCTGAGGAAGATGTATGTTTTTAGGGAATTTTCCTGCTCAAAATCAGCTTTCTGAAAGCAATGGTCCAAGCAGTTTGTGCAGGAAGATTTCAATTTGATACATTTTCACATACCTATAGCATTTTTATAAGTTGATACCAAAAGTAAAATGTGTTCCTTAGTTATTGTCAATTGTTAGTACCTACTTAATTGATATCAGCTTCTATCACTGTCACCGAAATTTGCTAAATATCTTGTTGCCACTTCTAGGATGCTGGTGTGGTTCTATTGTTCAAACTGTGACTTGAGCTTTCTTACCATTTATGGACCTGCCAAATTCCTACAAGATGAATTACCTATTGCCTAGTATCCTATGTAATTGGTAATAAAATTGTATGAGTGGGCCTAGAAATTCTTAATGTATTAAAAATTGGTTACTTTGGATTCATGAGATTTCACTCATGGGTATGAAAATTTCAATCTTAGCTAGGGTGAAATTAAATATTTGGCTTAACATGTATGCACGACTTGGCAAATAAACTCATGATTTGGCAATTAAGTTTTCAGGCTCATAAATGGTTTTTCATGGCCTGTAAAAAAATTCATGGTTAAAAAAAGACTCATGGCTTAGAGCACACTAGCTGCAGCACACAGCACTGTTTTCTGTGTGGAATTCAAGAGGGGTAGGTATTAAATTAACCAAAACACCACAGCATATTGGAAATGCCATCACACAACCAATCACAGTCTGGATAGGATAACATCAGAATCCCACAACCAATCACAGTCTGGTGAGGATGACATCACAATCCTACCAATCACAGATGAAAAGGGCCTTGCATCTGCCAAAAAAATGACAGTATCTTTGACTAAAATGACTAGAATTACAGCCTGACGGCTTTAGTGCTTTATTAACAAAGTTGAATAAATTCTTAACAGCATTTTAAGAAAAGCTTTGCAGTTATGTTGTAATCTAGCCCTAAATCTTAGCTCTGATTTGTATTTTATTGTTTTTATGTACAAGTGGCAAGTCAAGTGCATCTCATGTCAGTTATACTGGTATGTCATTGACTCAATGATGGTAGTAAACATATATAAATTCTCTCAGAATTGGCATTCAATAATTGCTGTCCTGGTATGTGCATGAAAAAATGCAGGTTTGTTGTCCATGAAATTTTGTTTGTGAATTCAATTTTAAATGTGATATGTGAGACCTATCAACGTTTTTTTTTTTTCAGAAACAGGAGAAGAGGACTGAAAATGATTTCATTTTTGGCAAACTCATTGGAGAAGGCAGTTTTTCATCTGTAAGTTAAAGTTAACTCTCTGATTTACATATTTATGTTTTTTACATTTTATTGAGTTTTGTGATGATCACTTTCTTGGTTATTAATTCAGATAAATAGATTGTATCATATATATACATAGTGGCTTATGACATTTCAATAGTTTATCTTATTTTAAAAATATTGTCCACTAGACAAGTGTGCATTTCAATAAATAATAAAATTATAATAACTGTATGCAAAAAGAACTTGTAAAAATACTTGTAATATTATCTATTGCAAAGATATTGGCCTGCCTCTTGTTTGAACTAGTATCATTTATATGTGTGAAGCCCTGATATTATGTTGCTTTTTCAGGTGTTTCTTGCTAAAGAAATTCGCTCCAAACATGAATACGCAGGTTGGGTGTGAACATTAGCCATAAGTATTGTGATCATAATGATGACAAGGATTTTCCAGCTGCCATAAATTATCCAGAATTTCTTTCAAGAATGTCAATTAAAATATATATTTATATAAATATATTAGTATAGGTTGGCAGATATTGTTCTTTAAGCAGGTTTCATTGAAGACCAAAGAATTTGTTTTATTGAAAACTTTGTTATTAGTGTTTTTTAATATACCTTATAGAACAATATGTAGTATAAATAATATATTGTTTGACATATTAAAAAAACAAATACAAAATTGTCAATAAAACCAATTCTCTGGTTTTCGATGAAACCTGCTTTTATAAACATGCATTGAATATTTTGTGTTAATTTTAATGAAACTTCTGACAGATGTCTACCTACATATTAGCAGGTTAGAAAAAAAGCAGTTAGTTAGTGGAAAATGCAAGATATTTCTATCCTTTGAAAAAAAAAGTTTGTAGGAATTTATTATTTTCTGTTTACTTGTATGTTTCAGCTAAAATCTGCAGCAAGCATCTGATTGCACAAGAAAAGAAAATTGAGCAAGTCCTGAGAGAGAAAGAGGTTATGACCATTCTCAACCAAGCCGAGAACAAGACTGCACCCTTCTTTGTAAAGCTTGCTTATGCTTTCCAAAGTGATGCAAACTTATGTATCCTCTACAAACCAATCTATTTTCATTTAGTTTGTGTCTTCTAGGATACAGATATCCCTCCAAACTATTTAGGTTTTTTATGATTTGATTTTTGTCTAAATTTAGACTAGATGTACCTAATCCTTTTATCAATTTCTCTCTTAGCTGGTTTACCATAAAGTGGAAAAATTCTCATAATGCCCAATTTTTAATAGTTAATTTGCTACTGAACAATACCTAGCCAAACAATGTAGGAAATATTTTATTCCACAGTTTATTGGTATATGATTGGAAAAAGAATTTTCTAATATTGTATTATTGAGCTTAAAAGCTTATCTATATTCAAATACTATTGTAGGTCTAATTTCATTCAATGTATTAAAATTAAGCTATTCTATAATCACTTGGTTTTACCTTAGCAAGATACCACTATATTCAAATACTATTGTAGGTCTAATTTCATTCAATGTATGTATTGAAATTAAGCTATTCTATAATCACTTGGTTTTACCTTAGCAAGATACCAACAGATTTTATCCTGAGTTATTGCAAGCATGGAGAGCTGTTAGACTTAATCAAGACGGTTGGTAACTTTGATCACGAGAGTGCTTCATTTTACACTGGCGAGATCCTCAGGGGGCTGGAGCATCTTCATTCACTAAATATTGTTCATAGGTGAGTATCAAGATTAAAATCAGCTAATGTCAATTCTTAATTTCTACCTATCAGCTTTTATCAGTGATACAAAAATTGATATTGCTCATCATTCACTATGTTTTTCAGTGCACAAAGGCTTAAGGTCCAGAATTTTTCTTCAACTTTTGCTTCTGTGATTGTTTCAGAGACTTAAAGCCAGAAAATATTCTCCTAGATGATAGAATGCACATCAAGATTTCAGATTTTGGCTCTGCCAAAATCCTTGAAAAAGTGGAATCTGATGAAGCAAGTGAGTAAGAAATGGGTCTTGTTCTGATGTAACAGTTGTGCTAGTACTTATTTTAAAAAATTTGTATATTTGCTTTCAATGCATTTGTTACCATCATGCAATACCTTTGCCAAAAATTGTTCAATTTATCTTATTCTTGATTATGCAACCAAATAACTCTTACTTGTGTATTGTTACACCATTGCTCACTAGGGCAAATAAAAATCACAGTTTATGAACCATACCAGACATACTCAGTTTCTCATTTGGAACTGATGATGTCTCTATGCAGCTGGGGATTTGCTTCGCTCATCAAGTTTTGTGGGTACAGCCCAGTATGTGTCTCCTGAACTGTTGCAAGAAAAGAAAATTTGCTATGCCTCAGATCTTTGGAGTTTAGGATGCATCATCTACCAGATTGTTTCTGGTTTGCCACCCTTCAGATCAAAGTAAGTTTTGGAAAAGAGTCTCAATTTCTTTCATTTACCCGTTTCTTGAAATTCAATGTTTCTTTTAATTCCCTAGCAAGTATCTTGGTATAACTCAGGCCTTCTTATAAGATTACTCACGTCTTCTACTCAACTTCAGGTTTACTGACTGTAATATGCAACTGAGTATCTAAATTTCAACATGATCAACATTTTAAGTATTTTTAGCTTTCAGGGGCTTAGCAACTGGATTTCTATTTTTATCCACTTATTACCTACTCATTTTCATATTTTTTATTTGGATGGTAATTCAAACCCTGGTTTTTCTTTCATGTTGTTGCATAGAAATTTTACCTCAGGCTTACTATGGCAACTTTTTTAGACTGGTTAGAAGATGCTGAGAAATGTTCCAAAATCTTGATTACTACTGAATGCTCTTACCACGTTTGGTCTCTTTATTTTTCCCAACTAATTGCAGCTGGTGTTCAATATATTTAATCTTACGGATGGAATAATTAATCAGCACTTATGATGGAAATTCTAAGTTGCAAACCTGTTCTGAGGAATTATGTTCATATATACATAGTTCATTGTTAATGCTGCTGATTAGCTAATTGTTAATGTTTGTTATGTTGTAATAGATTATTAGAAGACTGTTTATAAAAAATATTGAGAAAAACTGTGCTCACCAAAATGTTTTATTGAAAGATTATTCTTGGAAATCAACTAAGATTGAATTTTTTTATGTTGCAAAGTCGTCTTTCCATATTATCCTGTAATTTTTGACATTTATTGACATATACTTTATTTCAGGTCAGAGTATTTGATATTTAAAAGCATCCTTGCGCTGAACTACGAGTTTCCATCAGGCTTCTTTGATGATGCTCGTGATCTGGTACAGAAACTGCTTGTGAGTTTTTTGCTCTGCCATTAGTTATAACTATTTTCTCTTAATTTCTGTGTGTATTCTGAATGAAAAATCTTGACTAGGACCCCTTTTTTACAATGGTGTGATGCTGAAGTAGAAGTGTAAAGGTTTTGATTACAAATATTTGTCTAAAGGAAATAGAAGAGAGTATTGAAGATTCTCTTTAATGTGTTAAATCATCAAATATTATTAGTCTGCAAAATTTGATAAATTTGAATGAAGAAAATTAATGCTAAAACTCAACATATGTGATGGTTGTAATGTTTATGTCAAGGTTCTTGATGCAAGTGGTCGCCTCGGAGCTCGGGACCGAGGAGGCAGATACTGCAGTGTGCGCAACCATACTTTCCTGGCTCACCTCAACCTGGATACACTGCACCTAGAAACTCCCCCCATTATCACCACTTATATGCCTGACGCCAGTGAAGAAGTGGGTTTAGTAACTTGGGTCATAGTATTTGATTGAAAGTAAAATGGTATATTCTTTTATTATTAACTACTGACTTGCTAAGGTTCTCTTGCTAGCTATGTGTTTTGGTACAATCTTCAATTCTTTTTACATAATCGTCAGTAATTTTTCTATTTTCAATCAATGTACTATCCTTTATTCCTAATTTATTATTAAGATTGAGCTATCAAATTGATTGTGCAATATCAATAAATTTAGTAAATAAAGCCAAAATTTTACCCAGTTAATAGTATAATAATTTACCTCGTTAACCAGTTAGATGCAAAATTAAAAAATTTGATCAAAATACATGATCCAACTTTATAAATGTGAATGGACGACTGGACTTACTTGCAAGAAATTTTTTTATTGTATGTGCATTCTGCCTGTAATTAAATCAAGAGTATTTCCACAAGGCCCTTTGTTTTTCATCATAGAAAACCAGGCTAATATTTTTTGGGCCTTGCATTTATCCTTAATTGCATCTATGTTTGTTGATCTGTTGAAAAATGTAGTAAAATATTGACATCTTGCTTCACCAATCTGGTGAACTTGCAGTCCATTTGGGACAAAAATGTGACGCCAGGCTTTGAGAAGAGGGAGCTGGACTTGTTGCAACAGACGATAACTACTACATGCAGCAAGCCCAAGGTTGTGGAAAACCTTCAAGACACACAAGGCTCTTCTGCCCCACAATCTTCTCCCAACTATGAAAATCCAAGTAAAAGCTCTTCCTCATCAAAAGTTGTTACATCAAGTCAGGCAAACATCAAGTCTTCAACACCTGGTTCTTCTAGAAGCTCTTCTAGAGGTAATTAAATTTATTTTCCAATTCAATCTCATTTTAAATTGTGTAAACTTGAATAATTTGAATGAAACATTTAAAAATTCATTTTATAGCTGCTTGTTATTAACACGTTTTTCTTAACTTAGCTTCGCGTTTATTTGTTTGTGGATTTGTTTGTTGTTAACATTGACAACGAAAATTAGCCCACTTCTGATTGCTCTAGAGATCTGAAATTCGGCATGCAGGCTATTTTCGCCTAACAATTTTAGATACAATCATAAAAACTAACAATTAGAGACCTAAATTAGCTTAATTGAGTAAAGTATATATAGTAGTACTGTAGTAGTATATATATAGTATGACGTGCGGGCGCTGACGTTATAGACGAGCAGGCGCTGACGCTGCGTATCATCGATACGTACGTCAAGTCATACTTAATCAAGTCTTCATCGTTTTTCTTGTGGACTAAAAGGTAGAAAATGAAATACTTGAAAAAAATTAAAAAAAAACACGTTTTTCTTGTGGACTAAAAAGTCGAAAATAAATTATGGCTCTGTACGTTCACCATCAAATTTCCAAAATTCGTGTGTTGTGTGCTTCTCGCTTTAATCATAAATCTGCCCGACACACGTTTTTTGGGGCGAGCCATAATTTATTTTCTACTTTTTAGTCCACAAGAAAAATGTGGTATTTTAAAAAGTTTTTTAAGTATTTTATTATTTTTTTGCTACATTCATTTTCGCCTGTGTTAGAAAAAGGAGTGGCTTGTTCAGTTATTGTAACAATACGATTTAGATAAAATATTGGTATTCTACCACTTTAAATGCCTGGTGGCGATTTTTCACCAGCAGTTTTTTAAGTGACTGTTTTCAGTTGGTTGTTGGAACTTTTATTTCATGTCACAATATATCTAGTTACATGCTTAAAATTTCATTACATTTATAGAGAATGTTCTAAAGCATTTGTGTTTCGAAAATTTCCAGCAAATTTTTATCGCGTTTTACTGAAAATATTGTTCAATACAGATAACTTTATAGCGGTCATTCTGCTCATTTCTAAACATCTTTACTCATACGTTTTCAAAAAGTTTATCTTGCATTTCAAACTGATATTGTTCTATGCAAATAATGCCAAAGAATTACAGTGCAATGCATTTGTTCTGTGAAGATAATGCAATAGCATAGCATGTTGTATGGTGCTACACATCATGCTCCGTCAAAATAGTCTTTCATAACACAACATATTTCTTTCTATGAAATGGTGTTTATTGCAGGTGTCAAGAATATAGCGGACATTACAAAAGATGAGCACAACATGAGACTTGAAGTACAGAAGAAAGAAAGCAAGTGGCATCGATTTGTTGATGGAAACCTTATCTTGAAGCAAGGACTCGTGGATAAAAGAAAGGCAACTATCACTGCATATTTGTAGTATATACTCTTATTCAAATTATAATTCTAAGCATAAATAATTTTGCTAGCGATGCGTGAATTGTGAAGAGAAAGCAATACTACTCTCATCAGGTATCAGCTGTCGCTCTCAGAAGTATTGTCTTGGCTCTCTAATTTTTAACCAATACAATACCCAGTGGGTCTTTTGCTACTAAACTGCTTAAATTAATAAGTGGTTAATATTGGTACCACGCAATAGGACCATTTGACGCTCCATAACCGCGACGTGTTGCAGGGCTTATTCCCGCGTCGTCGCATGTTCCTGCTGACAACAGGACCGCATCTGTACTACGTGGACCCCGTCAATAACGTGCTCAAGGGCCAGGTGCCTCTCGACGGCACCACGCGCTGTGAGGGCAAGAACTTCCGCACTTTCTTCATCCATACGGTGAGCGCCTCTCATTGTACAACCTCCTTATTATCTTTTGGACAGCTTTGTCGAAAAGATAAGACAGAAGATAGCTCTTCTGTCTGAAGAGTTTTGGACATCTCTCTCCACCGTCGCGTACTGCCTGGTCAGCCAATGCATTCTCTATCCACGCGAGTAAGCTACTCACCGTGGTGCACTACATTTCGTCACTTCAAACATTGCTGTGAATCAAGTCCGAATTTGTATTCCGTTCACACCACCTTGTTTTGGATGAGACGATGGAATTAGTGGGTTTTTATTTCATTTCTTGACGTCTGCGAGTAAATTGAATCGTTAATTTTGTCTGAAAATTGGAACCTGCAGCTTATAATTATACGTTCCTCAATATGCTATCAATCTTAGTATTTGAGTCTTGATTCTCATAAAATTTTTCATCCTATGTATCTTTAAGTCTAAGTTTATAACTTTCAAATGAATAACTGATCTAAAAACTTGGTTGATTTGAAACATTGTAATTATAATATGTATAGTTACTTGGTTTGTAAAAAGTCTTGTTGTTTCAGCCCAACCGCGTGTATTACCTGGAGGATCCTGAGAACTCTTCAAAGCAATGGATGGAAGCTGTCGATCAGGTGTGCAGCTACTACTTCCCGCGCTCCTAGGGCACCTCTGCTCTGATATCTGCTCTACTCAGCTCTGCTTAACTCTGATATCTGCTTTGCTCAGATCCAATGTCTGCTCTGCTGCGATGTCTGCTCTGCTTAGCTCCAATGTCTGCCTTGCTCAGCTGCGATGTCAGCTCAGCTCAGCTCCGATGTCTGCTCTGCATTGCTCAGCTCCGATGTCTGCTCTGCTCAGCTCTGATGTCTGTACTGCATCTCGCCTGTTTTAAGTGCGCACTCAGACCGTAACCCCGCAGCGGCCAGTGCACTGTTTTCACAAACATTTTCAATTTGCAAATCTAACCCTTCAGTTTCTTCTAGTCTTTTCAGATGTCTAACAATTTTTGAAGTCGTGAAAATAATTGCAGGAGAAAACCTTCACTTGAAATCAAAGGTAAGTAAATTTTGTGACACGGGTGCAATCATTTTCATGATTCTTTTTTTTTTTTTTTTGCCAATAATTATTTTTCTCTTGCGCACTATTAATTTAACTTTATGGAATTGTACTTGTTTTATGGAGTTCATAAACTTTTGCGTTTAACCTACCAAATCAATAACTAAATTAATGCAGGTTTTTCTTTAAGGTTATATCCTCCTTGGACTTACAGTGTTAGGCCTACTATGACCATGGAAACAATGCTTACTTATTTCCCCATTTTACGTGAACTCTTGTGCGTTTATGCACTTTCTATGTTCTATAATAATCACTCTTAATCTTCAACATAGCAGTGGCTTCACAAATCGTCTGTGGATCCAAAAATGTTTTATCATCGCGTTCTCTTTTAACGTAATTCTTCGAGAGCAGAACTTTCATTCAACAATTTGTCCGTCTTATCCGCACCGACGTCAAACATGTACCAACAACGTTCCTCCACCAAACTCTTTATTTAATCCCACACCTAACACGATAATGTCCTAACACACAAACGCCTCACGCCCTTGGAATGTTACCTAATGCTACTGATCGACGCGCCTCTACAACACACTACAACTAACTTCAAATCTCACAAGCGCCGCTGCGCCGTCAAACCTAAACTCATAAATACTTGAGATAAAACATATTTTTTGATCTCTATTCTCGTGATGTATGGATCAGACAGTCTACAATAAATACACAACACATCAGCTTGTGACCGATGAATGTGCCTGTGCGGGTTGTGGCCACACTGCTTCCTGAGTGAACACGCCTGCAGAGCCTCAGCCACACGCGCCTTTATTGTATCTCTTTACTTCTTCAAACGACGAATAAATAATCAAAGTATGCCCGCTGTTCACGAAACACTTAATTAATTGGTTAAATTGTATCTCCGTCCCTCAATTTCTAGTCATCAAGATGGTTTTACCCTTCGTTCACGAATGTTACCCTCTTATTCCTATTGTTCCTAATATATTTCCAGAATTTTTCTGCAATTCAGCAGTGTTTGGAATCGACAAATATTTGCCACTCGTTTCTTTTGTGCTTACGTTTTCAAGAGGATATACGGACATCTGCTTCAGTGTTCATCAAACTCAGGCGTGCTTGTACCTACTTGCTGGTATTTGATCAGCACAAAATAAATTCTGGTTGCCTTATATTAATCGATTGTCACTCCATCTGTGGCATTCATCTTTACAAAAGATATCAGTTACTGATTATGCGTGATCACCTCAATTTATAGGACAATCTTCTTGGCTTAAATGTAGCATTTCCGTAACGAGTTACGAAACCAATCATTTGACCTTATCATTTGATAAGGTCAAACATTTTTAACCTTATCATTTGATATCCAATTTTAACGTCGTATGATTATTTATTAACCCTTATTATTTATTCACTCTATTATTTATTGGAACTATTCTGCTATATACTACCTCTGAGAGTTGCGTATCTTAGGACAGGTGTGCATGTGTTATGCCTCTGCGTCCTGGATGCAAGCGCCTTGCAGGATTCTTGCTCCGATGCAACACAGGCTCGGTGTAGGGAGAATCTGTTTCATGGAACTCAATAGGTCGAGTTCTATGCTTATGCAATATATGGTTCGCGATGTCAATGGTCCGCATTATTGACTACTTGACTACCGTGCTATGTTAATGGAACGAAATAACTAGAATGTGTAGAAATATTCCTTGTCGAATGTCTGAAGCTGAATGGTTTTCTTTGACGTTCGATTTCACTTCTGTATTAAAACTGAGTAGTCGCGCCTTGTCCAAATTAGTACTCGTGCTTATTCCTAAATACCTCTATATTCGTGTGTCGGGTAACCTAAAGGAATATATAAGTTGCACTGCCATGAAATTATTTATTTCAGCTGCTTCAATCTTATTCGTCACGAAGCTTTTTCAGTTAACCTCCACTTGGCCACAAATGAGAATTTTTAGAGCATTCCGCAAGAAAGTAACCTAATTTCTATCTTCTTGGCCTCCTTGTATCAGAGTTATTTTAGTACATATTTAGCTTTCAACTGAGCGAGGCTGGATAAAGCCTATCCATACGTTTCATGACTCGTCATATTCACTGTATTACGTTGGAGTGATATGTACAGCTCGAAATTAGAATTCTTGTACTTATGAGAGTAATATTTTCCTCCTGTTATACCAATCATTCTATAGAATTTTTCCGTTCATGTTTTTTGACTGAACTTAGTTTTATTTATTTTAGCCATTGTGTTGTGTAATGATGGCTCTGTATCTGATAGTGTGTTTGTGCTGCGCTTCACACCCCAACTTGCATTTTCATGCGCTGCAAAATTACTTGTCTTGAGCGACTGGATGCAGCACGCCCATGATTTCATTCTCGTATCCATGGAAAGAGTAATTCCTCCTATGAAAAGTTGTACTAAATTGTCATAGTTTTAAAAAGAAATTCGTCACAAATGTTTGCTATAGTTATATAAAGAAAAAGAGTTGTGAACAAGCTTGAAGTGTTTCCATGTTCTTTTTTTTTACTGTGAATATCTAAAATGCACAAGTTTTAACCTGCATAATGTTAGTGTATAAAAAATGTGAGTTTATTTCTCTTTACTAAACTATCATTCTCTCTCAGTGGTTTAGCTTTATTTACGCGAGTTATCAAAATATTGCTCACGCAACCGTTTATAATTTAAGTTTTCTGATGGTTTATTAAGCCGCATGTATTTTAAATGGACAAGAACTAAGTTTTTTGATCATTTGTAACGAACCTGTTTTTCTCCAACGTACCTACTCGTTTAAAACATCTTATAAATACCTATTTTAATGTAATTTCTCTTTTGTTATTCTTTTCCTGTTTCATTACACTCAAGTTCAATGTTTTTTGAAAAATTATTATTAATTTGAGAATAACCTTCATGTACACAAGTGGAAATTTTTCGAAAACATTCCTCCTCTCCTGCACGTTTATTTCGTTTCATATTTCTGAATTTTTTCATGAATTGTTTGTTTCTAAGTGTAGCCCTCGTGTAGAAATTATTAGCAGTATCCGAGGAACGTTAGAGCAGGTTTAGTGCTACTTGTATTTAGTACATTTCGGTACAAGAGGTTATTCAACAGATTTTGTAAAGTTAAGTGTTATTTATGCTTCAATTACGCCTTCATTTAGGACCCAGATATAGTCTTGATTCTCCTGCATTTTAAATTATTATGATTAAAAAAGAACATTTAGAACTTAAATTTCGTCAATGTAGAAGCTGAAGATTATGGAACTAAGTAAAAGTATTAAGAAGCCTTAGCACTTGGGTATGATTATCCCTTCAAGTTCACTGCATTTCGAGGATCTTTGCCAATCCCTATGAATGTCCTACATCATTTAGCGCAATCTATCTTGCCTAATAGTTCAATTCTTGCATAAATTATATTTTTTAAATAATTTTTAAAATATGCAAGTGGAAAATGAAACAGTACTTTTTTTTCCTTTTAACCAAAACCAAGTCAGATTCATTTCTTAAGCTAACAAAAATATAGATGTGTCAACTACCATGAAGTATTGATATCCACTTGAACTCATTGTAGACATAAATTGTAATAGAATGTAAGCTCTAACATAATATTAAAGACATACGACAGTCTTATACTACGCTTCTAGGTGATGTAAGATGAGGCTTAGTACCAATCCTCCAATATCCGATTCTTGTTATAGCAAAACGCTCGAGCCAAAGACAAATAATAAAATAATAGCAACTAGACTGCAACTTGCGATATTTTCAGAGGCTTCACAACAGGTTATTCCTTATCTGCAATAGGTACACACGGTGAAAGCATTCTCAAATGGAGGGAGTGTGATGAAATACATGTAGACAAGCTCTTCGCCAGGAATGTGAAATAAGTTCGAAGTATAGGATATTGACAGAAGCGTGTACTACCAACCACGTACTACAGGAAAAGAATTATCGCCACATGGGTTTTCGAATTGTAACAGAAGTCAGGCAAACACAGCGTGCAGCCTATATGGTTAAGAGCCCGAAGGATAATGCCTTGAGGTGTATGGAGAAGGGCCAGAGAGATACGAGGTGTTGGTATTAGCGGGAGGATAATAGGGCGCGCTAGGGGGCGTCTGACTGTAATGGGGAGGAAGGGCAGACGTGGGTGGTGGGGCGGAATACGAAGGGGCCGCGGGGTGCCCGCTGTAGGGAGGGAGCGTGCGGATGGGCGTCGTGTAGGGAGAGAAGTGCGGCGTTTGAGAAGAAGGATTTATCGGTGGAGGATAATGAGTGGGCGGAGGAGCCAGGGGAGTACTTGGAGCAGATTGCGGTGGAGGTGGAGCAGAAGGAGTGTAGGCAGGGTACGAGTAGCGGGGAGTGGTGGTGGAAGGAGGGGGATAAGAAGGGTTGAAATTCGAGTACGGGTAAGGTGCCCCGTACTGCCCGTAGGATGAAGAAGATGGCGTGCCCGCCGGCGTCACCACCGGAGGAGGCGGCACGTCTACATTGCTGCTGTCTACGTCATCTTTAGCGTGGATGGGGGCAACGCTTGCGCCGATAACGGGGACAGGGAGCGTGGGAGTCGCGGCCGGCGTTGCCAAACTGTTGTTGCTTGCACTAGTCTCAGCTGCTGCAGGTGTTGAAGATACAGCTGCTGTAGCAGCAGCAGTGCCCTGCAGCGGAGTCTGCGGCACTGACTCTACAGTCGCCTGCTTGGCAGCACCGGCGCCAGCGGCGGCAGCACGCTTGGCTACCGCAGCAGAAGCACGGCTACGCTTACCGTCACGGCCCGCTTCTGATTTATTGGGGGCGTACAAGTCCAGCACTTGGTGGCAGATGTCTGCAAACATGCGTGTTTTTAGTTAAGGCGTTCCTCTCATCTATTATAGTTTTATCGAGTTTGAACTATTTACAACAATTGGGGAAGAGTCTGTTCAATATCTACAGATTTCAGATAAATATGCGAGGAAGAAACTTTTAAAGGATTCGTATTGTACTAGTAAAATTGATCTAGTGTTTTCATAGTGGATACCTGATAGTTTCGGCATCAGTATATATATCGCTCCTTTGTAAGTGGCAATTATCAGCAATGCAAATAATTCAAGCGTACTATTTAATGTCCTTTTTGCACTCTCCAACCGTCCTATCTACTGTCATAGTCGAGAAGGGTGTCGGCGAATCTAATGTGGACAAAAATATTCATGTATAGAGATTCGCTCTGCTGTGAACAAGTTCAAAATACACAGATGGTTCTATGTATAAGCTTCATGATGAATTTAAACTTTATTTAAAACGGCATCAAATACGTGTGGAATTCTGCTCGCAATTTTTCCAAGTAACAAATAATTTGCTCTATTACGATTAGCCGACTTTTTTTGGACATCAAACGTCTAATGTGTACAAATAGCCTAATTGATCTCAGTCAAAGTGAAGGTATAGTATTCCGCCGTGCATTGTAAATATTAGGAGGAGCAGGTTGAGAAAATTCGCCAGAAATCTTTGACGTGTCAATTGGGAGAGTTTGAAGGAAACATTACCTCAAATGAGCAGCTTACCCTCGAGAAGGTCGGTAGTGATGCCGTGAGTGAACATATCCCACCAGCGCGTGTGCCGAGGGTTCCTGCCCACCCAGTCCGTCACTTCAAACTTGCTCAGCTTGCCCGCCAAGTACATGAGGGCTATGGCAATAATCTCTGCCTCCCACTGCAGGCACAGCGTCGTGCACAAACTGCAATCAAGTTAACAAAATACAATAATGCAAAAATAATAATCAAATACACATAAGTACAATAATGAAGGTAAAGATGGCAGCCAAATGCGGAAGTATAAAAAAAATCTATCTTAGCCCGAGGAACAATGAACTTGATGGGTAAAGCAAATTGCTGCTACTCAATTAAAAGATAAATTTTTACCATAATTGAATTATACTTTCGCATCGAGTACTAAATTATGTGATTAATCAAGTATAATTCTGACCTGTCATTAACGAATGTCCAAGCCATTTGAACCATGTCCTGTAATTTTTTCTTATCTCCTGAAAAAGTGCAATTAGAAATTAAAGCAATGGATAATTGTTTTTTTCTTCATCGGTAACTCAATTGCATAAATTAAATATTTCTTAGGACTAAGAATCATGAATCATCAAATGGTAGAATAAATAACTTGCGCCCTTAGAATTTTAATAAATTTTAAAATCATAAATTTAGGAAGTCAATTATTATGTTATTTATCAATTATGATGCGAGTTCTTAAGAAGCACAGAAAGAAAAACCACAGTGAGAGTTGTAAGCACCTTCTATGCACTTGGCATACTTGAGGAGGTAGGTGTACGGATGCTCAACAATGAAATCAAACTTGATTGTCTGCAAGATAATCCTCTCAAGTGTCATGACTTCTTCTCTAGGATCAGCACCAAACTCTGCCCAGGTATCATCTTTCATGAGATTTTTTGCAGTCTTCATGATGTCACGGCACTTCTTAGGCGTTTCTTCAACTTTTCCTGCCAAAAAAAGGCAGCAGCAAGCTGTCACCTGCAGCGAAAAAATTCACTTGCATTACAATTTAACAACCTCAATTTATTCATAAAATGTCAAAATTGTATTATTGAGCAAATCACAAATGAGGAAACTAATAGGGAACATTTGGGCCAATTTTAATCAAATATATTGGTGGAAATTGCAGAGTAATTATGATCAATAATAATCATACCTTTATTAAGATAACTTTATTCTTAAATTATAAATTAGATTGCAAATACTAGTACCTTCAACATCCATCATCATCATCATCAGTTTAAAATTCGAATTGAAGCTGATCAGTAAAGGATGTATCAATTGGTATCAGGCAAGTTTTCATTAAAAACAAACTGAATTTCATAGATATTTTATTTGCAGTTGAATTTTTAGTTCATGATACAATGTAAGATCTCTCTAAAAATATAAGACATGCCGATGACACTTCTTTTGAATTTTTTGGAATGCCAATGAAACTAAAATTTGAAATGTTTCTCCATTGAAATTGTTCAAAACTCACTAGATAAGTTAATGACTTGTGAAATATTAGAAATTAATACGTCAGTTTGGTGTAGAAAAAAATTCATCTCAAAGAAGACTTAGGTAGCATAAAAACTATCTCCAAGATTCCTTAGACACATGTTCTGTCGTATATTAATCTTACAATTTTTTAGACAAACATCAAGAACATGTAATTTACCAACTTAGTTGATAGATACCTAACTGACAACAAATACCGTAACTTTTACTGCTCACTTACATGTCTGGGAAATTCCTGGAAGCTGTGTACCATGTAGAAGCGGTGGAAGAACACCACTCCAGTTGCCATGGTCTCATATCGCAATCCCATTTTGTTGCCAACCTGAGAGATCAAAAATGAATATATATATATTCATATATTCACATTTACATAATTTGAACAAATAGCTCATAAGGTTGCTTGGCTGTTAGTTATCATTAACTCAACATCTTAAAGGAAATTTATGTGAAGATCAAGCCACAATTCGATGCTGACTTGCAGTTTGGGTAGCTAAGCATTGAGATATAAATACCTCAAAAGATAACAGTCACTTTTGGATAGTAGTCCCAAAATCTTAAACTAATGTTCAACTCAGAATTCTTCTATCACGGGACACAATTTCAAGACCCAGCAAGCAGAATTCTTCCATGCTGTTTAGATTGGTCAAAACCAAATTACTTGAAATGTATCCATCACTACTGCCAAGTGCCAACAAACAAATCTTTAGATAGGCAACAATTCATAATGTCAACAAACCAGTAAAATGAAACGAGCTCCTTCTCGGCGGTATTGGGTTTCCAGCTCCAGAGTGAGGCCTGCTTTGATGCTGGGAGTGTGACGAAGCTCACGTTTATCATAATACCAGCAAGGCATTTTAACTTCTCAAGAAAATAATTTGACAACAGTGTAGATCTGAAAAATAGATGAATTACAGTTATAACCTTTCAGTGTCCATATCATGAGACAACTTCAGAGTAAAAATTGAATGGCATAGTATGAAATGCGAAGTTGGCAAACTAGGCAAAGTATACTCTAACGTTCTGTAGCTATGAAATAGTGGACAGCATATTTTTAATCAACTATGAAGGCTTCAGGTATTTAGATACCGTAATACACCTTCAAGAAAGTACTGATGACTTGCTATAGGATTATGCAGCTCCAAACTTTAATAAATGACGCATAATAAAGAATTCAGCAGACCTGAAATCTTATAGTCCAATATGCATAAATTATTATAGGTTAATAAAAATTAGTGTCTAAATAAACTTGTCCATAGAATAAAATTAACAGTCAATATAAACTATAGTGATTTATAACTACTTTATTTTACTGATCAAATGGAATAACATTATGTCAATATTGGAATTGGAAGCCATACATGGACCTGTACGACCTGAACAATTTTACTATGGCACAAATTTCAGGTCAAGAAAAGAAATCAATTTAGATATCAATTCATGTGTTGATAAAGCTAATAACAATCCTGAAACAACTCCAACATCTCCCAATTTACAAGTTCTTAATCAAATATAAAAATTAAAGCCGCTACAGACAGTGGCTTTAGATTACACATCTTTCTCGACAACATTCATAGACAATAGCAAATTATCAATGCAGACAATAGTGCATTATGATTCAAGTGGGTGATGGATACCCATCAAAACAGAAGGGAATCCTGATTGATACAGAGCCAATTGGCTTACTGATTGTGCTGGGATAAAATATTACAGGTCTTATTGATGCCCTAAGTGAAAAAAAAACTACCTACATCAGATGGATCACGGATTTGTTTGCTCCTTATGAACTCTGCAGGTGGGTTTGACTGCAAAAAATGGAATGAATTGACAAATAATAAATTAATTAAAATTAAACTCCATAGCACAATCTGGAAAACAAAATCTGATTAAAGTTGAGCGCAGTAGTCAAAATAGGAGCACACTCCCTCCCAAAGTAGCGGGAGGCCCGGGACGAGTGCCATCCAGCACTCCAGCACCCAAATCACTGCCTTTCCCTAACAATTAGCACTCTTGGAGGCCCTTGAGTTGTGCCCTGCCCCCCTGCTCAGGATTGAAATTTTCCTACTTGTTTCTGAAATCTTGTGGCTCCAAAGTGACAAATTTTTAATACAATTGGAATCTCATGACCCAGTCATGCACTTTTGTTAACAATTAGATAGGAGGTAATTCATCTGGCAGAAAACTCGCGGTTCAGGAAATGGCAGGAAAGCTCTAGTTGCGGCCCTAATGGTATATATTTTCCACGCTTGCCCCTGCTCTGGCTGTCCTGGTGGATCAAATTGACCAAGGCCTTCATACAATTCCACCATGTGATGATGTGGGTCATACTTGTACAACATGAATGCAACCAGTCCCAATATTATTTTGATGTCAGACAGTCAGATTGACTTCACATTAGTCAATTATCTGTTCATAGCAATAGATGAGCATATATTTGTTAATAAGTTATTATTTAGTTGTAAATACTTTTGCCCATAGTGAAATATCTCATTTTTGGTTGCCTTATTAGTTATTAGTCTACACTCTACAGACCATAGTGGCTATAACACACCAGGCGTGGTATCACTATGCAGGTATGCATGCACTGGTAATGGCATAACACCTAATATATTTAGTATTACAATACAGTAATGAGAGGAAGTCATGCAAATGATGCAAGTGCATTGTAAAAATATATTTGCAAATGAGTTAATAATAATCATTGTCTTCATAAGTTATGATATCTGCTTTCCATTTCAATAGATTTCTATTACTTGCATATCAAGGCATTGGGCAAAAGCAAAATACATTCTATCTCCATTATACAAGCATGGAAAACTTCTACCATTAGGACTGCGACTAGACCACTAGACGACTAGAGCTTTCTTGCCATTTCCAGCAGCATGAGATTTCCACCAGATGAATTGCCTCCTATTTAATTTTTGACATAGGGTAAACACACCATATTCCAACACCTTAAGGACATATAGCAAGAAATAAATGGCTATAAATAAAATAGATCACCGTATGTGCAACTTGAGTTTTGATTGGTTTACATCACCCTCAAAACACCATACTATGCGCCAGCAATGATGAATGATGAAACGTCACGAACTGTTGCCATATATATTTAAAAGCCTTAAGAATTCAAATCTACAAAATTGCTGAATTCCGAAACTGTGGGTGAGGGTGACTAAATGTGGCATATTGTGACTTGTGAGACTAAATTCCGACAGCGCTTCAAAATCATAATTCGTAATTCCAACACCCTGTGTGAGCTGTGTTGGAATACGACAGTAAACAACACCCTGTGTGTCTTAATTTCTACACCCTGGGTCTCTTGAATCAATCTTGAAACCATCTCTTGAATCAATCATCTATTAATTTATTCACCACTTAAAATCAGCAAATACAAGTAAACTTAAAGTTTTCCTAATATATTCACAGACTTATTTAAGGGGAGCATCTTGCCTGAAATTTATCTCAGTAATTTACAGAGGGATCAATCTGAAATTTGGTACACATGTGTAAACCCTAAAATAAAATAGGTTTTATTCGTGTCAATTTTTTGAAAAAATTGAAAGAAAGCGTGAAATTCTTAGAAAACGACCAAAAAGGGGTACTTTAGAAAACCTATCTCCTCCTAGGATTTTCAAGCTACAACATCGAGACACATATCATTTGATGCGTAAAGACCACATCTACAAAATTGTGTATAGGTTTTTTTAATTTCTCATTTTTGTGAGTGTGGGAGCATTTTGTCCAAAATTGTTTGAAATTTTCGATTTTACCTCCACTTTCCCTCTCTTTTTGCAACATAAAATCCTAACTATAACGAACTTAGAAAAACCCATACACAATTTTGTAGATCTTTCATTTACAAATCAAACGGTATATGTCTCATTGACGTAGCTTCAAAACTCTAGGAGGAGCAAAGTCCCGCGCGCACCACAATATGCGCTCAATGTAGCATAGATTCCAAACTAAACATTTCTGGAGCTTGATTCCACTCAAGGATGATGGGAGCAACTAGGGTAAATGCCGTATATTCCGTCATCGTGGGTAATTCCGTCACCTCTTTAGTTTTTCCTTTATAGCTATTAAGCTTTGTTTTAGTTCCATGCGTTCGTTGATGGTTGAAATGGTGACGTCATACCTTTGCGCGTCGAACTAATGCCAAAACACTAGGTCTTGGCCATCTAGTGGGAAAATATTGAGATCCGAAGAGAGACGATGCACACTACCCAGTGAGATCATCAAAAAATGTGTCAATTTTGACAGTTGACCTTGCTTCACCAAATAGTGAATAACTGTTTGTATAGGAAGAATACCGTCAACCGGGGCTACTTGGGACGGTTTTGAGCATTTTTTGTTAATAACTTCTTACGATGAAACATTTCATAAACAAGTTTAGGCTCATTTTATAGCTCTTTGCGAGGGCTATCAAATGGCATCTTCAAAAAAATTCTATATGCTATTCGTAAGGTGCCAGAAGCAAAAAAAGAGTGTCCCGAGTAGCCCCGTTGAACACTGGGAATAAAACTTCATTTTAAAATATTTGAAGCATGCAGAGTGTACTCATCCATTACTAACAGTACTCTGAAGTCCTCCTCTTTCATTGTAGACAATGTAGAGGTAGAATAAATGACATTTTCTGTGACTTTTACTAGTTTTTCCTTCATTGATATATTACCATAAACATTAATTACTGTCAACTGGGGTGACTTCAGCTGTGTTTTTGATTCATGCTGGGGTCGTAAACCCAGGGTCGTAAACGTCGGGGTCATAAACGCCGGGGTCATAAACGCCAGGGTTGTAAACCAGGTCATAAACGCCTGAGTGACTTTGGCCACTGTTTATGACCGTTTATTACCCCACTTTGGCCATCATTATGAACAAGGCCCAGTTGATGGTACGGTATTATTGATGGGATATTACTGTATTATTGATGTGATATTATGGTATCCATGAACATGCCATTGAGCATTTACAACAACCTTGTCCACTGCAAGCTTCATATCAGCAGCATCATAGCATTTTTTCTGTATCTGTAAGCTTACAGGACGGCTTGTAATTTGTGAGACGATAAGTGAACTTTTTTTTTCGCTCAGCGAGGTAAATGTAATCAATATTCTTTGTTTTTAATCAATTTTTTTCTTAACTGGAGCCTTTGCTAACTGAGGTTCTACTGTAAATGTGCTTTCCGGGGTGTCCGGAATAGCCCTGGGGGGGTGGCCCGAGTAGCCCCGCCATGCGGAAATGGCCGCCATTTTTTTTTTTAATGAGATAGGCAAAACCTGTCAATTACGTTTTCAAGCCGACACCTGGGTGCAACTTTTATGTAAGTAAAATTTTTTAATATGGCAAATATTTTTTTTGCTACAGACCTTAGCAGAAGTAACTTTTCAAAATAGCGTTTTTCACCATTTTTTTCAGGAATTTTTCAAAGCTAGTAAATGTCGTATTTTTCGACTTCCTTTACACTACATAGATAGGAAAAATGTTGTTGTTTAGGCCACTATATTTAGTTTAGCAATATTCCAATTAGTTTTGCTACTATGACTGTTTTACGACGTGTCAGAGGTGCGTCCCGAGTTGCCCCGCCAGTCCCGAGTTGCCCCGGTTGACGGTATTATGGTTTGAGACTTTTAAATACGTCTGTGAATATATTAGAAATCCTTTAAGTATACTTGTATTTGCTGTTTTCAAGTGGTAAATAAATTAATAGATGATTAAGTTGAGAAATGGATTTAGACACATGAAAACTAATTCCGTCACAACTTGAATTGGACACACACAGATCGTTCCAAGCTGTGTACAAAAATTAAAATTTGCTTAATTAAAAGCTTAATAGTTGTTAATCAAAAGCATAATTAAGTAGTGTTCAATATTCATTAGTGTTCTAATTCAAAGCCGTGTTGTATTCCAATACAGCTCACACAG